AACATAAAGCTTCATTTTCAGATGTGCTACTGCTATCCACCACTTGTGTTAATGTCTAGTTACTCAATTTCATTGATAATATTGAATGATTCTATTATTTTATTAACCTTTATTTAACCAGTCAAAACCCATTGAGATCACAGATTTCTTTTGCAAGGGAGGCCTGGACCTGAAGGCAGCCTAACATGTATGTTTTTGGTCTGTGGGAGGAAATCGGAGTACCCGGAGAAAACCCACGCAAGCACGAGAACATACAAACGCCACACAGAAAGTCTCCAGGTCCAACCAGGGACTGAACCCAGGACATTCTTGCTGTGAGGCAACAGTGCTAACCACTGTGCCGTCGTGCTGCCACATGATCATGAGATCAAACTAAGGTCATCTGAAGATTTCTTTTGTTTCACATTAGTTTCTGTTTTGTTTGGTCACTTCTCATCATGCAGATGTCTGTAATGACATGTCACCCCCTTATTGGTTTGTTTTACTACCCAGCCCTGTAGGCTGGACAGATTATAATCAGACTGAACATGTCAACCAGTCTACTTCCCACCCCAAAAAACAACAGACGATCATTGAAAGAAAGGAGTTAAACTTTCTCTCTCCTTACTTTTCACACCTCGAAACCCAGCAAAGGCATCACTACTGTGAGCCAATTTTAACTGACAATATAAATATTCGTGTTCCTTTCATTTATTCCTACAGCAGAATAAAAAGTTGATTGCATGGTCAAATAAAACTGTGGGGAGAATTGTGAAACTGAGTGGACTGCACCTCAAAAGATCTCATCTTTCAGACAGATGATTCGCTTCAATGTTGCAATAAATGTTGTTGTACTAAGGTAAGTTTTTACATTATTGACCAGCTTACAAGGCAAAATATTTTCAACTGCATTAAAATTCAACACAATAGATTTTGATCAAAGCAGCACGAACAGAAGTACAATTTTGTTTTACAGTTCATCCATTGTCATGCATTTTTATAATCTCTGCCAAACTATACAGTAGTCCCTCACTACTTTGTTGTTCATTTTTTGCTGACTCGCAGTTTCTTTAAAATAAGATTGGACATGACACACAATTGGCTGATTGATGGATGAGCGACACGCTCGGCTTGGAATTTTTATTTAAAATGAATTATTTAAAATTATTTAGCACCTGCTGCACCTGTGTGCAGACCACAGCTGCAGAAGCTCCCTCCTGCAGCATGTCATACCATACCATTTTATTTATAGAGCACTTAAAACAGCGACAAGGCCAACCAAAGTGGCAGGTGGCAGAAAGCAGCCGGAGGCAGAGAGCTGAAATCATGACATTCTGTGCTCTTTTAAAGTGCTTAGAGTTTAGAAACACTGTTTTCTTCTAAACTTTAAACACTTTAAAAGAGTATCCTGATGCATGCTCAATCCAGGTAGAAAAGTCTAAAAAAGTTAAATCTGGTCCTCTGGACGACCAGATTTAACTTTTTTAGACTTTAAGGGTGCATTCACACTAGCCCTGTTTAGTCCGCTTTAATCGAACTCTAGCTCGTTTTCCTTGAAAGTCCGGTTCGTTTAGGGAGGTGTGAATGCGCCATTGAACTCTGTCACGGAACAAAAAGGCGAACTCTGGCCCGGGCTAAAACCTAGGTCTCGGTCCGGTAGAAGCGAACTCCAGCGCGGTTCGAGTACAGTGTGAATGTAAACAGACTGGACCCGCTCCTCAGGACTGTAGTGAACTAGGCCTGAGGTCAAATCCTGACCTTAAGGACCATATGGGACAGAAACTGTCATTTCATTGATTTGAATCCAGAAATACAGGTTGACCCATCCTGAGACTTTCTTTCTTAATTAATCAAGTGAAAGAAGACTACTTTCGATTATCATTACTATTTTACAAATGTTTGATAATCAAATTGTGTTAGTTCAAACAATGTTTAAATGTTGAAGTGAACTACTCATTTTTAAATCAACTGTGAAACAGTAATAACGATTTTTAATCCTCATTCAAAGTGAAATCAAGTTGGAATATGTTACAGAGTAATGATTCAATTTCTTGATCGTCTGTTTGAAATGAGCAAGTGGTGTAAGTTGGTCAAAGTTCAAGTTTCGGTCAACTGCAAGTTTACTGAAAAAGAAATGTCATGTTTAACTTTTACAGCAAGATACTAGAGAAGTGACTCCATGAAGTCTGAGTTCTTCATAACAATCTTCTGTCTGTTCTTAAACAATCTTAATCTTTTTCCTTGACTTTTTAATAACACCTTACATCACAAAACACACCTCTGTTTTGGTCCATCGACCAATCAGAAACTCCCAAATGAACCGGAAATAGAGCTCTTTAAATGTTGGTACTTTCTAGTTCAACCCAGTAGTTGGAGTCGAGTTTGGTGTCGAGTTTGGAGTCGAGTGGAGAGTTTGCAGCTCCAGTCGTTTGGGAGAACAGAAGTCCAGCCATGATTCAAAGCTCTTCCGAGTATTGGGGATTATGACATCTTCCACCTCTGAGTGGAACTCTGACGGACTCCACTCATGTGAAGTCCACTCGTGAGGTGAACTTGTGTCGAACAAGTACCGTCACTACTTCGGACGATTCACAGCTGTTCTTACGGAGACGCTGAAAGGGTGCGTTAAATGGAACTTCGTACCAGGGAGACATCTCCAGGTAAAAGAGTTGATTTATACCACCTAAGTCAGAGTCAGAGTCAGAGTCAGAGTCAGAGTCAGAGTTTCTTTATTGTCATTCGCACCTCATGTGGTACATGTGGTGGAGCGAAATTATGTACACAGGGTCCCAGTTACATCCAAGTGTACTGGGGAAGAAGCTGGGAAAAACCCGGAGAGTGCCGTTCTGGTGCCGACACAAACAAACTCCCTCACCCATCTTTTTCTCCCTCTAAACTTCATCTTTCCATCTTTAAAATTCTTCTATCAAGTAGAAATCATTCCAGATATTTTTATAAATGTCTGAAGCAAAGTTTTTCAACCACCGCCGTGTGGTTAGTGTCTGTTGTACAGCTGGAAGTGAGAAAACAATCGCCGTATTGTTTACTCCGTGTAAAACTGATTAGTAAGCAGTTGTTATTTTCAATTTTTGCCAATTAATGTAAATGTGTGATGTGTTAAACTTGATTCTGTTAATAAATGACCCACTGTCGTTGGTGAGTCAAAGATAATTAACGTTTCCGTCCACATTTTTAATTATTCAATGCACGTATATTATACAGTCCAGAAAAATGAAAGAATCCGTTTAATTTATGAATATATATCAGCATATGTTCATTCTACAGGACAAACAAACACACATTTCTCTGACCTTATATGGAGCCGTCAGCTGCCTTGTGTGAAAAACAATATTCTCCATGGTCTTCTGTCTCATCTTCTGCTCATGCTAAGTCCATTTTTGAAAAATGACAAAATATAACTCCTAAAACTGCTAAAACTTGATGCCACTTCGTTTTTATTTTTATTTACAGAAGAAGAAGAAGTATCTTCAGAGGTTTTTGTGTCGTTTCTTTCAGTAGTTCTTAGTGCAGCGCCCCCACAGGCGAGCAGGGGAATAGGTTGGTTCAACAGGTTGACTCGACTGCACAGTGCAGTGTGAATGCAAACGCACCAGCTCAAATGTAAACAAAAGCTCATGAATATTGGCCCGAACTGAACCGAGTCTACCGGACTATCTGGTGTGAAAACGACATAAAAGAGCACAGACTGTCAAGATTTCAGGTTCCTGCCTCCACTGCTCTCAGCCACCTGCAAGCACTCTTGGCCACGCCCACTTCTCAGCTCTGCAGGGAGAACAGCTGATCAGCTGCAGCAGTAAGTTTATCCTGCAGTAAGGGCTGTACAGAGCTGCAGGAGGACACTTTTTCTGCAGCTCTGGGATGCACAAATGTGCAGCAGGTGATAAATAATTTAAAATAATTTATTTTAAATAAAAATTCCATGCTGATCATGCAGCTCATCCATCAATCAGCCAATTGTGTGTAATGTCCAATCTTATTTTGAAAAACCGCGATAGAGCGAGTCCGTGATAAACGAACCACGAAGTAGAGAGAGACTACTGTATATACTAAAATAAACTACTACTTACTACTTGTACTACTATTCCTACTTCATAGTTTTTCACTTATCGCAGGGTTTCAGTGTACGAATCCCCCATGATAAACGAGGGACTACTGCACATCAACTTGCAGCAACATGTTTTTTTGCATGCAAATACTGTTCCGTCTTGTTTGTAGAAAAAATGTCAAACACATACATGAACAACACTCACACTTCACATTGTGCAGACACTTGTTGCTGAGTGTTGTGTTCAGACAGAAAAACAAGCACACAGAAAGTCAGCCGAGAGGGGAGGAGAAATAGACAGATGACGGGCTACAGCTGAGACAACAGCTGGACTTGGCACAGAAACATGCCATTTACCGGCACAGTAACAGCTCCGCTGGCAACTCTTCGCCAGTTAAACACAACTCTGACCCAAAAGGAAACAGGAAAACAAATCCAACAGGGTTCATCTGGCTACATTGTATTTCCCTTCTGCATTCAGAACTTTTCTCTTCAGAAATACTAAAATGGCTAAAGACAAAATAAATAAATGAAACTGTTAAAACCAGAAAACCTGTAGGAGGAAACACGGCTGAATTCTCTGAGGTGTCTGCTTCATCCTGCATAATGAGGTGAGCAATTACAATGTAGGTGGGTTAAGGCACACTTCGTTAACCCTGGTGTAATTGGCGTTTCTTTGTTATTTTGGTATGTAGGGGGGATTAAACTAAGTTGAATAGTGATGCAGTTTGATCTCGAGTGCTGCAGAGAATGACACTGATTACAGTGCATAACTGTGAGGTAAACATGGAAGATGTAAAGGCAAGAATTCCTGTTGGAGTAAATGAAATGTTGGCACTTAAAGATTCATATTCATTAAATGGACACATAAGAAGTCTTTAACCGTGACAGCAATAGTTTACTACAACAACACTTGTACATACAATAAATGTGCATTTTATTATGCTTTCCTTACTCTGGGACAGCCTCTCTGATCTTAGGGTCGGTGATTTCCTTGCAAATGGCGGCAGACTGCACCTCCTCCAGAGGACACATGATGCCGTACTCCTCACATCCATGGGCCTGCACCAGGGGGTCCATGCGGTGAGGGTCAAACATGATGTTGTTGGGTGTCACTAACAACACCCCGCTCACTGCACCCTGAAAAAAAAAAAGAGTGAGGGTTGAGTACCTCTGATACCTTGAAGACATATTTTACGGTAAAAGACAAAACTTGGCAAGTTTTAGCCTGCAAATGTTCTAAATCAAGTAGAAGCTATTGACTGTCAGCTCTCTTGTGCTTTCATTTGATACCTGGCCGTGTGTGATTCAATACCATGGATCTGTTTGTAGGGGTGTGTGGAAAAGAGCAGAGCAGCTGGACACAAATGTACTCTGGACGGGGGGGGGGGGGGGACATCTCGTTAGCAAGCTACCATCTGACCTACACTGATCCAAACCCTGACATCTTGTACAGACATCCAACCTGATCAGAAGTGATGGTTACGTTGTTTGATGGATTAAACGTAATAACAGTACCGTAATTTCTGGACTATAAGCCGCTACTTTTTCCACAGGCTTTGAACCCCGCAGCCTATACAATGCTGCGGCTAATTTATGGATAATTTTTTCTTTGACGAGCTAACGAGCTTCCTGCTGCCAAAAACATTTAGCTTCGTCACACCCAGGCGCTCACATAACTGCCAAACACATGTCTCTCTTGGGTGGGGGTGGGTCCTCGTGACTCATTGAGACTACCTGTATAAATAATGGTTTAAAAAAATCTGACGAATGAATTTACCGAAAAGGTCACAGTCGAACCAATAAAATGGGGAGGGAATTGTTAAAAATCATTTACTCTATGTATTTGTGTATGTTACTGGTACGTATTTAATTAAAAGTTTAAATAATCTTTCTGTGTAAATATCTCATGTTACAACGTGAACACCTGCGGCTTATACACAAGCATGGCTTATATTTGAGTGTGCTCTATAATCTGGAAATTATAGTATGTTTGTGTGTTCTGTACATTTACTTCCTGTTATTAAGTTTTAATTAACTATTGTTGCAATTTATTCATGCAGTAAAACAGCTCACTATGATAAAGTTTATAGATCCAAGGCAGATCAACTTCTGGGTCTGGTTTGTGACAAGTGATAAAAGGACTCAGGTACTTTATGGATCTTAAAGACAAATATCCTAAAACATAATCCTTTAAAGAGCAGAACAGTCTGTGGTTAGAGATCACTTTACTCATTTTACAAGTCATTTGTTTATTTCAGGTTCAACCTGCTGGGTTTTATTTAAATGGTCTTCAGTTATTCATGTTTACACATTTGTACAAATGGTATAAATTACGTTTATTATTTTTTTTAATATAAAAAAAGCATATGCTGTAAAATTATCAGCTACCAAAGACTTGGCATCCTCTAGTGCCATTCTAAAATGTATTTTTTTTAATGCTGATGTACTGTAAACATTTAACTTTCCAACAACACAACAAAAAACAGGTGATTGATGAAATACATCGTGTTGCTGCAGTGCAGTGGTTCTCAAATCCCCTTGGGGACACAGTACCATGATGGGGAGAGCGATGTGTCCCTGTCCTATTTTTCTTTATTGGTCTTAAAAATTAGCATGCTAAAGTAATGATTAAATGTTGTCTCAACTCACATTTTATTTCATATCACACAAACAGCATTTCCATGGTGATTAAATGGACAAACCTCATGCTGTGTGGTGCATCAAGCCTTCACTAACAAAAGCATTTTTTATTTAATTCACAGATTCTATTAAAATACTGAACTTTTGAAGATGTTATATTTGTTAGGTTTTTGTGCACACATTGTCTTCATTGTGATTCTAAAAGTGATTATTTCTTAATAATAAAAGGTTTATTGGGGCAGCCTGTTTTTATCTAATAATAACAATTTATTCAATTTGTACTGCACTTCACATTTTACAATCTCAAAGTGCTACACTATAAAACATCTAGTGAGAATAAAACATGGACAATTAAAAAACTAAACAGCAGGATACCTTTAAACACTATAAAATCTTTCAACTAAAAAGGTCTTCTGTCCTTTCTTAAAACTTTCTGTACTCTGGGGTATCCGTAGGTGGTCGGGTAGGGTGATCTACAGACGAGGAGCAGCAGAGCAACAGGCCCTGTCACCCATGGTGTCACCCATGGTGTCACCCATGGTGCACAGTTTTGTCCGGGGAGGGCGGGGCTGGTAGGAATTTGTGGAGCGGAGGGATCGTGTTGCTGTCTGAGCAGCGAGCAGTTCTTTAATATGGTATGGAGCATTGCTGTGAAAGTATTGGCGGGTGAGTAAGGAAACCTTGTATTCAGTGCAGAGTGAACTGGGAAGCCAGTGGAGGGATTCAAGGATCGTTGTGATCATGTTTCCTTTGCTTCATCAGAGTCCTGGCTGCACTGTTCTGTATACTGAAGTTTTTGATGGAGTTAAAAGCACTTGTTCTAGAAAGTCAAGTTCTGAAACAATTATCAAAAGGGAAAAGAAAAGAATTGCGCCAGTTTTAAGCTTTTCCATTGTATAGTTTAGAATTAGTTTAATTAGACTCTTTTTGAGCTGAGTTGGAGTCTGGAAATGATTCTCCCTCCAAAGTGAGGCGCAGTATGAAAAGTAAGAGAACCACTGCTGTGGAGCTTTAAAATAAGCCCAAATGTAAAATATGTTAAGGACCTGCAGCTGGCAGCTCTACAAGACATTTGATTCTTAGTTTAACTCAAATAAAACCACTTCCTCTCTATTTCAGCTGCAGCATGTCGAGGAAGGCGTGTTTCGATTCGTCTCACCATGCCGTCAGTGATGTACTTGCAGTTGATTTTGAGGAACTTCTCTGTGAGGGCCTCTTCCTCCTCGGAGGTGGATGATACCCCTCTGGTCTGGCGCAGGGCTGAGAACACCGGAGGGTGAACACCGTCTGGTCTGGGGGGAGCATCTGAATCCTGGTGGTAGGATTGGTGGCGGCATGGAAGGTCATACATAAAAGAGGAAGACAAACAAAAAAGTCAGAATTAGAAAAGTCCTTAAAAAAACCAACAAACAAAACATAATAATACAAAGCAAAATGATTTAAACACAAGCAAAATACTTTTGACAACTAAAAAGTGGCTCAAAATCTGGACTGAAAAGCGATCCTGGTGAATAAATCATGCACACATCACTAAGGCAGCTCTTCAAAAAAAGTCTCAGTTCTCTTGGTAATACACGGCACGACTAGTTTGTATCTAGTTTCATCAAACTAATGTGTTTGAGTCTCTAAGCACATTATCTATAAATAAACAGATATTGTCTGCACAGAAAATAAGGTTAAATAAAGTGAATATCCAAAATGATGCGTGTGTTGTGAGCCCGATATTCACAGGGGTAATTAGATAAAACATTCAGATGAGACCACAGCTTTAATTACTGTGAACAACTTGATGTCTGATCAGCGTTCTGTTTGGATAGGAGCATGCCCTCGAGCCAAGTTAAGACTTACTACACATTCTGCGAGAGTAAAAATATCTTTAAACTTAAACTCTCACAACAATAAAGTAATAACAACAGTTATGGTGTTCAAGTATAAAAAAAACTGAAGCTACCAATGCATTTTTTAACATAAAATAATACCACTGAAGATAAGCTATGTAGACTTTGAATCGTATCTTGAGAGGGTTATATTAAAGAGAAAGAAGAACCTGTGCAGACTGAAATAAATAAACTTTTTGTCTTTTTGTGGGTATTTTGTGTTCATTTCTGGGACGTTAGCTCTTCTTGATAACAGTCTGAAGCTATGCAACAAAGTTAAGTCAGGTCCTCTGGACAGTTTCTTTTTGTTGAAACGTTTCGTCTTTCATCCAAAGGACTTCATCAGTCCGAGGAGCCACAACAAACTCAGTCTAATAAATAGCGGGTCAACCAGTTTATAAGACTGAGTTTGTTGTGGCTCCTTGGACTGATGAAGTCCTTTGGATGAAAGATGAAACGTTTCAACATAAAGGAACCGTCCAGAGGACCTGAGGTAAGCAGCAGCAGCATTCACACTATTTTTACAAGAATTTCAATTTCTTCAAGTTTATGGTTTTGGTCAAAACAACGAACCTGTTAAGATTTTTAACTGAACTAAAAATAATTATTTGAGGTGCCAGCTTTCCTCTCGACATCCTCTCCGCGCGATGGGAACACCACAACACACGGGCTGTGATCATCAGAAAGTTGTTTTAAGACAGTTTGTAGAGCTCGTATTACGATTAAAACATAGAACATTCAAATATTTTATTTCAAAACGGCATGAAATGCAACAAAAATACAGAGTAGAAAATAACATTTTTCTAAAACACAAAATAGATGCTGCAAAGCCAGGTCAGGATTTAAACGATTCCTTAACCTTGTAGTTTCTGTGTTCTGTTTGTTGACAAATATATAATAAGGCCGTGTTATCACAGCCACGTTGGAGATGCTATAGTAACTCCGCAGTGTGCCACAGATGGTGTGTGCTGGGCTGGAAACACGAGATGCGGTGGTTGGGTTTGTACCAGCTCCTTGTTGCCATGCAGTGACTGAGCTACAGCAGAGACTGACTGACGTCTGCCCACAGGGACACCTGCTGGTCTGATTGACTTAACGAATGTCGACAGCATGTGCACAGTGCGTATGTGTGTGGCTGGGAGGGAGGCGCTGACTGTCTGCTGAAGGAGTCACATAGGATGTGAAGACGAAAAAAGTATAAAGGGAATATTAAAAAAAGTAAAAACAACAATAAAAAAACAGTGGACAGGGTTTACGGCAATGAAAGGGCACAACTAGAGGACGAAGAAGAAAAAGGGAAAGCGGGAGAGAGAAGCAGAGTGTGTGGGAGTTATCACTGAGGAGGGATTTTGACCACGAGTGGACGGCATCAAGAGCAGGTGAAGAAGGGAGAAGCAGCGAGGAGGCGCAGCAGCAGTGAGATTAGAAAAGAGAGCCTGAGCCCATAACAACTGTCTGCTGTCCTCTTGACACCCGCCCCCACACCTCCTCCTCGCAGTCTCCCATCGCTGTCGACAAACAGCCTGCAGCTACTGACCCACACAGACACAAGCAGCCCAGACGCTGGCAGCCAGGGAGGACTTGGGGGGGGGGGGGGGGGGGGTGTCTGTTAGAACCATAACAAGCCTCTCTCAACAAGGAGAGGAAAAAATAAAATCAAGTGTAAAAACTGAGGTGAAGAGGAGAAGGATCAGATCTAAAGCTGCTACAACCAAAACAAAAAGGCAGTTTCTCTGATCAGTGAAGACATCGATGGTCAACGAACTTCAGATCCCAGAATGCATTGTGGATTTTAACCAACAGCTCACCTCAGCTACACAGCTGCGCTTCCTGGCTACGCCTTGAAGCAAGTCACTTCCAGCAGCGACTCGTTCAGGTTCCAGTTCAGACGTCCTACATAAAAGGAACGACGGGCTCTTCCACCTGCATGTTTCCACAACACACCTGGACTGAAATGAGTGCCTACAAATGCCAAAACACGTCCTACCTCCCGACATAAACAGTCTGGCGTTCCTGTGTCATTAAAAGTCTGGCACGTCTCAGAGAGAGGTGTTATGTGTTGGCATCAAAACGACACCCAGCAAACATCCCTCGGTGTCCACCCGGGCGCATATCGAAGGAACACGTCCTGCTTTCAGCAAACAAAGCAGAACGATCTGTCTTATTCTGCAGCGTCTAACCTACTGCCACATGCTGTTGTTTCTCTTAGTTAGAAATAGAAAAGGAAAAGGTGAGAAAAAGCAAAACATTTCTCTCCTTGAGTGGACGATCAAACAGCAACAACACAATTAACAGAGAGAAAACGAATTTTAGGCAAAAATGCAAAGTGATGGTAAGAGCTGAATGACTCTGTTAAAACTTGTTGAAGAATCCACTCTTAACTGAGTGGTTAAATATAAAACAATCAAAACATAAGCTAAAATCTGCAATACAGCAGCTGAAAGCTAAAATGAAAACTGTAGCTAGAGAACAAAATAAGTAAAAGAGTACAGCATAAATGGTTAAAACAAGAAACTTTAACTAGAGAAATTTCATTTCCTGAAAAAATACAGTGAGAACGCTTATTACAGAAGAACTTTCTGAAAAACAGCTGAAATAGAAGAACAAGCCTAAATGTGCAGAAGAAAGCAGAAGAAACACATATTTGCTGAATTAGGTTTAAATAGGCAGAAATAAGAATAAAAATTAGAAAATTAACTAAAAAAAGCTGAAATTAGCAAAAAAAAAAAAAAAAAAAAAGCTGAAAAGTAGCTGAAAAGGCAGAAAGAAGCTTAACTACCAGAAGGAAGCAGAAAGAGCTGAAGTGAGCTAAAAAAAGTGGAATTAGCTAAAAAAATCCAAAATTAAAACTACAACAGCAAAATAGTATGAAAAAGCTGAAACTTGCAGGAACAAGCTGAAGGGAGCAGAAAGAAGTTAGAAGAAGCACAGAATGTTGTAGTTAACAGAGATCATCTGAAAGGAGCACAAAACAACTGAAATTAGCTGAAAGTAGCTGAAAAAATGTTTAAATTTGCACGTGGAAGCTGAAAGAAACAGAACCCGAACAAAATGTAAAAGGTTGTAAACAGATCTAAAGATGTGAAGGACGGAAAATGAGCTCAATTCATTTTCTATGAGACAAAAAAAAAAAAAAAAGCCAGAAAAGGCTAAATATTTCAAAAAGCTAAAGATGTACCAATACCAAAAGTCATGGCAGGATTGTCCTGAAAGAGCTGAATGTTTAGATACTGAAATTGCTGAAAAATTGCAGAACGAGAATAGCGCTGAAATATGTATGGAAAAGGGATGGTAACCACCAGGAATAATTAATATAAACAGGAAAACAATAGTGTAAATCCTGAACCAGCATTCACACAATCATCAGGTTATGGTCAACAGAGCTGAGGTGATCATCACTGCTAAATATTTTTTTGCTTTTACAGAAAAAACAAACTGTTTATTAAATTAGCAAACCACCTGATCCAATCAGATCATTCTTCATGTATCTTTCTTTCTTTTCCTTCCTGTGGTTTTTCTCTGAATTTCACTCAGCCATATTCTACATTTGGCATCTTCTTCTCCAAAACGTGTACGATTCTGTTAAAACAAAAGCTGTCAAAGAAGCTGCTGCCATGTAAAATGCATTTTACATATCTTTTGGAGTCCGTTTCTGTTGTGCTCTTGGCACACTGCACGTCAGATAAAGAGTCAAGCATGCTATATTAAAATTCAATGGCACTACCATTGACCCAATAATACTCTACTGTGTTCATAGTGGTAGTTAATGAGAGCGATCTACCATAAACATTTCCAGTGTGATGCAGTGTCTCTGTCTCCAAGTAACTGTTTGACAAGTTTGAAGTTATTTTTATTTAACACTATTCAAGCCGAAACCTGGAAGCAAAGCTGGAATGATGTTTTAGCTTGTGTCTAGTTTCTTTGTGTCTCTCAGTGGTGGGCACAGATAATTCAAATGTTAGATTCATAACCACTAATTTGCTAACAAAAAAAATTTGCTTTGCTAACAATAAACCACTAAACACATTTTTTTTAAATTAGCGGAAGCTAACGCTAATGCACTAACTTTTATTATACACTGTTGTTGCTGACAGAGGCTGTTATGTGACAACACTGTAAGTGAACACAACTCAGAACGTTTCATAAATCACAGGTGAAGCATTCAGAGGAGAGCTTTCAGAAATTAATCTGGTCCATCAGAACCAAAGAGGCAGAGCATCACTCTGCTGGGTTGAAGCAGAGTGATGCATTCGGTGGGTGCTGGAGGGGTTGCTCGCCCAGAGCACCAAACAGGCTAGGACCGCCCCTGCTGCATAACGTAGCTCTGTCACGGTTGTACTGTGTGATGTTGGCGCTAAACTGTCTTTAAATAAAAATGAGCAGACTTGAATTTACCAGATTTAAATTTAGCAGGAGCTAATTCTGTTTAAGATTT